CGTCCCATATAAAGTAGAGGAAGATGGGCACGGATGTTAGCTCAGGGCCAGTCTTCCTCAGCAAAAAGAGGAGGATTGGCATGGATGTTAGCTCATGGCTGATCTTCCTCACCAAAAAAAAAAAAGATTGCAAAGTCAAAAAAGGAGAGCATAGGGGCCGGCCTGGTGGTGTAGTGGTTAAGTTCGCACACCCTGCTTCGGTGGCCCAGGGTTCACGGGTTTGGATCCCAGGCACGGACCTATGCACCACTCCTCAAGCCATGCTGTGGCAGCGTCCTACATACAAAGTAGAGGAAGATGGGCACAAATGTTAGCTCAGGGGCAATCTTCCTCAGCAAAAAAAAAAAAAAAGAGCTTAAGAGGGAACTTAAATTGATTAAAAGAAATGTCAGAGACATGTCAAACAATTTTAGTGTGGGTTATTATCAGTACTGAATCAAACAAATGAGGTAAGGGGGCTTTATAATCAGGGAAATTTGAATACTGAGTATTTAATGATATTGAGGATTTGTTAAATTTTTTTTCAATGGGATAATGGTTTTGTGATTTTGTTTATGAAGGACCTTTACTTTTGAGAGTTACATGCTTAAAATATTTACATGTTGAAATATATGGTGTCTAGGATTCACTGAAAATAATCTGGGAGGTGAGAGGGGTAAGTAAGGATATAGATGAAACAAGAATGGCCATGAGTTAATAATTGTTTAAGCTAGATGATGCTTATTAGCTGAGTGAGTAACCTTGTGCAATTTACTTAAACTGACCAAGCTCCAATTTCTTCATTTGTAAAATGAGGGATATGTTACCCTACGGGATTATTGTAAGAAAATTTAAAAAATGCAAATAATATATCTAGCACAGTACCTTTTATATAGTAAGTGCTTAAGAAATGGAAGCCTTTGTTATTAACTAACAATTGAATGCCACTGTTTGACCCTTGGCATAGATGGTGAATTTTCTTTGCAAGATGGAATATAGAATTAATTATTAAAGCCTAATGTTTTAGCATATTCATTGAGTACAAAATCATGTAGGAGGAAAGATCATGATTAAAAATATAAGGGTTCAAAATCTGACTTTGGCATTTAACTAAATGCTATGAGCCTCACTTCCCTCATTTGTAAAATGGAGGTCAGTATATACTTTGTAGAGTGGTAAAAATTGGGAATAATGTTTTAATGTACATGAGATAGTATGTGTAAATCACTTAGTGTAGTGCTTGGGTCATAATAGTTATTCAGTTAAATGGTTATGGTTATACTCCATATATAACCCCTCAACCTATAACCATCAACCCAAATAGCTCAATCCATGGAAGACAAAGAGCATTCCTGCCTAATTCTTCTTTTTTTTCCCTCCATTTTCCTCTTCTCCCCATCAGTTGATTTATGAAGACTGTATGGATCTGATCGCAAAGCTGCCTTGTGTTGCGGCAAAGATCTACCGGAATCTCTACCGGGAGGGCAGCAGTATTGGGGCCATTGATTCTAAGCTGGACTGGTCTCACAATTTCACCAACATGTTAGGCTATACTGATGCTCAGTTCACCGAGCTCATGCGCTTGTACCTCACCATCCACAGGTGAGCTAGACCCAGCAACCATAGCCCCTAGGTACCTGGATTGGTGGGAACTTTTAAGAAAAGCTCCTTAACATTCTCATATTCTGCAAACAGTTCGTAGGCAGCAAGAAGATGGAAAAATGGCTAAGGGATGATACAAGGCAAGAAAGGGGTCTAGTAAAGAAGATCAAGAGATCTAGGGAAATTACCATAACCACACCAAGAACAAAATAGTGCTTCCAACTGGGAAAAGGTACTACCTGTTCGCATTAGGTGGTCTTTCAGCTTTCCCGGAGCTCCCTCTTCTGGCCATTGCTATTAAAGCTGGAATGAGAGTCAGAGAGCTTGGCAAACAGGCATCATCAACCAGTAACCTCTCCATCCCTGTAGGTTAGTGAACAAAGGCTGGTAATGAGATTGAGACGTCTCTTACAAGAGCTTATGGATAACTGACTGGCTATAGGTTGGTGTGAGCCCATAACTAGACTAGTATGTGACAAGAGAACAGCAGTGTCAGTGTTTCCATAATATGCTCCTTTTTTCTCCTCTTTCTCTTGGCCTTGATTCTCCTTTCCATCTTCCCCACAGTGACCATGAGGGTGGCAATGTAAGTGCCCATACCAGCCACTTGGTGGGCAGTGCCCTTTCGGATCCCTACCTGTCCTTTGCAGCAGCCATGAACGGGCTGGCGGGGCCCCTCCATGGACTGGCAAATCAGGTAAGACTATTCTTTTTCTTTTCCTGCTCCATGTTTTTCTTACTCCCATACTTTGTTTCTGATCTTGGCGTTCTCGAGAATTCTGGCATATGTATTGACACTCTTTTATTCCCCAAACCTTGCCCATAGGAAGTACTTGTTTGGCTGACACAATTACAGAAGGAAGTAGGCAAAGATGTGTCAGATGAGAAGTTACGAGACTACATCTGGAACACACTCAACTCAGGACGGGTAAGCAGAGATGCTTAGCAACTAGGAAAGAAGGCAAGACCCAAGTTCTACAATTTGGAAGAACTAGGGAAAAAAGAATGAGAGAGGTCCCTAAATTAGAGAAGGAGATTTTTCTTTCTCTGTCTACCCTGAAGAAAAGACAAGAATTTCCACCTGAGAATACAGCTGGCTTTTTTCCCATCACTCTTTGCAGGTTGTCCCAGGCTATGGCCATGCAGTACTAAGGAAGACTGATCCACGATATACCTGTCAGAGAGAGTTTGCTCTGAAACACCTGCCTCAGGACCCCATGTTTAAGCTGGTTGCTCAGCTGTACAAGATTGTCCCCAGTGTCCTCTTAGAGCAGGGCAAGGCCAAGAATCCTTGGCCCAATGTAGATGCTCATAGTGGGGTGCTGCTCCAGGTGAGTCCTCCCTTCCCTGCTTTCCCTCTAATTTGTATCAAACCCTGCTGTTCTCTGCCATGCACAAAATCAACTCCCTAGTCAGAGCAAGGACTCTTATACCTCCTTCCTTACCCTTTTGATAAAGTTGCCTATGGTGGGGGGACGTGTGGGCAGGAGGAAGGGGGTGCTTTCTTTTCAGAATCCCAACTGCTATACTTTTCCCAGTGTCATTTCTGTTTAAGGCTGACTAGGTTAAGGTTTCTATCACCCTGGACTTGTATATGCCACTACCTCTGGGCCTTTAACAAAACTTTTTTCTCTTTTACATTACAGTACTATGGCATGACGGAGATGAATTACTACACAGTCCTGTTTGGGGTGTCGCGGGCACTGGGTGTACTAGCACAGCTCATCTGGAGCCGAGCCCTAGGCTTCCCTCTAGAGAGGCCCAAGTCCATGAGCACGGATGGTCTGATGAAGTTTGTGGACTCTAAGTCAGGGTAAAACTAGGGGGAAACTAACCACCGGAAAGTGGGGGAGCTTAAAAAAAGTACACTTTAGTTTTGTTTCAGGGGGCTTTTAAAGACTTAAGGTTAAATTGTATCTGAGGCACTGATAATAAGTTTGAGGTTAAAATAATTTTAAATTAAGACTTTAAAAAATGAAAAGTGACCCCTTCTTCCTTAACCAGCTCCTTTCCCCTGCCTGGTATAAATTGCCCATCAACTGCAGGATGACCAGGAGTAATGCATGTGGTATGGGTTAGGTTTGGCCCCCCTGCCATCTCTAGAGTGAGAATCTGGCTCCTCTTTCCCTGGGTCAAAGCTGCTTGCAGAGAATCTGCAGTCACTTCAGAGCTTTTGGTTCTACTCTCCCCAGCCCTCAATCTGCCCCTTCTGTTTCCATAGGAATCATGTTGGATTGTCGGCTGTACTGAGCCCCATTGCCCTCTCCCATGCACACAGACACTTCCTAGCAAGACCTATTGGTTAGCTGGACTTTTTTTTATGCTATCAGGTGACCAAAAAAGGCCATGGCATTTGTTGTGACTGGCACCTAGTGTTTGATTTTTTTTTTTTTTTTTTTTAATTATCCCATGTATATTAAGATCTGGGAGTGTTCTGTTCCCTACTACTTTAATACTCACCTCCTTCCAGATTTTCTGTACCTGCTGTGAGGAGGCTCTGGACCTACCCCCCTTGGTCCCTAGTAGAGACATCTTTCAGCAGGTTGTATATAACCACTGTGTGATCTGTGGTCTTTCCCAGTCATTTGGCTTTATCAGTGCTTAACATGAACTCAGCTTTTTACTTCCACAGAACACAAGCCACTACCCTCTGACCATTTTTTCCCTCCTTTATTTTAATGTGCTGTGTGCTGTGGGCCATAGAATAAGGGTCTTAGGAATGACCAGCATGATATCCTCATGGTCTGGTCCCAGGGGTATAGCACCTCTTTCTGAGCAGGCATATGATTTAAGATTGGACATGATCTCCTTTGAATATCAAGTCCTGGGGCTGAGGGCATTAAAAATAGTAGGCCTCCCTCCTCATCCCCTGCCACAGGAAAATATCCCTTTATTTATCAAGGTCCTTTTCCCGCCCCTTCTGCAAGAGTTCACAGTACAGTGTTTATTTTCGAAGCCCCATTTGCACAGGTTTTCAGTGACTCAGAATGCTCTACTGCCTTTTCTTTGAGAAAGGATTGAAATACACTCCTGCTGTGCCCCCTTCCTCTCTTGCAACTCCTGCCTGTGTTTGTGTGGATCCCTAATCCCCAGAACCACGCTGTTGAGATGGACACACTGTATACCCCTGGGTAACTGTCAAGTCTTGATGCAGACTTCAGGTTGTTCTGTATAAAATGCAAAATAAATGTTTTTATTAACAATGCTTGAGCCCACTATTAAATAAAGCCTGGAAGAATCTCTATTATGAGATACGGAATCTAGCTAAAGATCCTGGATTTAGTGGGTTATAAATTATCCTGTGCATCCCTTTATCGTTAGGTGGGTTGGCATTCATTTACCCTAATCAGAAGACAGGATCCCTGTGAAATTTCCAAAGGAGATGTCTGTCTTTCCTCAAGGTGATAAGTCCTTGACCTTGAGCCCCCCCATCCTTCCTAATTTTGTTGTAAGGAACAACACTCAAGCTGATAGCTGAGACCTCACAACTGCTTATGTGAGTAATCCAAGGAAACTGGTCCCGCCCACTGGTGAAAGGAACAAACTAAATCAAGGACAAATAGGGGAGGACTGCTCGCTCCGGACCTGAGCCACTAGAGGGCTCTGGTACTCTGTGGAATGCCCGTTCTTTGCAGCCTCCTTTAAGCAGGCCCCCAAAATAAGGTCCTGAGAGCATCAGTTATATGGGAGGTCTGAAACCAGATTATTCTTTCCTGAGACTCCTGCTGCAACTGACCTTCTGAAAAAGTCTATAAATAGGCAAGGGAGTGGGTACTAGGTCTTGGCTTGTAGAATGTGCTACTATAGTTAGCAGGGACACTATGTCCAGGAGGCCTTCTTGCACCTTCACTCCCCTAGGGAAGGAAGCCATGACTTTCTTCTACTCTGCTATATCTACATTATTCCCCCAAGAAACAATATAAAATAGCCAAATTCACACTGTCATAATTTATTGAAATTTTATAAAAATTCAAGCCAAGTGGAAGAATAAGGTACAACTCAAGAGTACAACTCTGTTTGGTGTTTTCTCCTTGCCCTATGGCACTGATGGTAAGAAAGCCCCTTGCTCCACCAGCCAGGCAGCATGGAAATAGTCTTAAAGTGAGGTTATATGGACTTCAAGCTTGGGCCAGATCTCAGACATCTTACGCAGGCAAAAGTTATTGACTACCCAGTACCTCTAAGTTAGAGGAAAAAGCTCAGTTTATTCAATCCTTAGAAAAGTTGCTATCTTCCCCTGGTCAGACACTAAGGCACCTTGACTGGGCCCAGAGACAACCACACAGTCCTGATTATAATTCAGTGTGAGAAGGCGGCAGGCATCAGGCATGTGGGGCTCTCAAGATGAGCCTGACCCTTTCCTAGGCATGTCTCCTTTCCATACCCCCAGCATTTCCTGCCAGCTTAGAGCCCAGTTTCTGGGGAATTGAAAGGGAGAACAGCATTGTGAACATAGACTCTTCTCGCAGATTGGAGCAGGAGCCAAATGAAATAAATAAGAAAATTGGGTGGGGAGGGAGAGTAGAGGAGAGGCTAGGGAATACTCCTTTGCCTTAAGTCTGGTGCACCTCATGGAACATCAGTTCACGGGGGACGGCTGTTTCTGGACCAAACTTGGTGGCTGCCCGGCGCTCAAAGGCAGCGACATTCTGTTTGACAACCTCATCAAAAAACATGGCGGCCAGCTTGGAGTGCAGCAGAGAACGAAACTCAAAGGAAATCTGGGAATGGGTAAGAGACAGTCAGAAACTCTTCGAGACCATGTTGGATAGTCCCTGGCCAAATGAAAGAATACTATTCAGTGCCTTTTCTTCCCCTCCCCCTCCAGTTCCTTAGATTCCCCTCAAAAGCCCTAATTTAGGACTGAGCACAGAGTACAAGTTTGGTACAAGCTGAGACCTGTGAAAGTCATTGACTTGGGAAATGCTAAGTATTAGCTACGCTTAAAGAATAACTCTGTCACAGTACCTCAGCTCTGCCCCCACACCCAGTTGTAGCCCTGTGTTACACGGCCTCCTGACTCACCGAAAAGTCTACAGTGCAAGTTCGGGGGTAGGCAGGAATACCAGGGCTGAATCGCCAAATGGTCTCTAAGTGGTTGAAGAGCTTGCCGTCAGTGCAAACAGCCTAGAATAGGACAGTCAGGTAGTTAAACAATATTACAATGAAATAAAACCTGTACTAGGTATAGAAGGCTATAAGAAGGAATTGAGGGCCGGCCCCGTGGCTTAGTGGTTAAGTGCGTGCGCTCCGCTGCTGGCGGCCCGGGTTCGGATCCCGGGCGAGCACCGACGCACCGCTTCTCCGGCCATGCTGAGGCCGCATCCCACATACAGCAGCTAGAAGGATGTGCAACTACGACATACAACTATCTACTGGGGCCTTGGGGGAAAAATAAATAAATAAAATCTTTAAAAAAAAAAAAAAAAAAAAAGAAGGAATTGAAAGCCATTTCCCTTTCCTTCTTTTTTTTAGGAAGATCAGCCCTGAGCTAACATCCATGCTAATCCTCCTCTTTTTGCTGAGGAAGACTGGCTCTGAGCTAACATCTATTGCCAATCCTCCTCCTCCCCCCGCCCCAAGCCCCAGTAGATAGTTGTACCTCATAGTTGCACATCCTTCTAGTTGCTGTATGTGGGATGCGGCCTCAGCATGGCCAGAGAAGGGGTGTGTTGGTGCGCGCCCGGGATCCGAGCTAACATCTATTGCCAATCCTCCTCCTTTCCCACCCCCCCCAAGCCCCAGTAGGTAGTTGTACCTCATAGTTGCACCTCTACTTCTAGTTGCTGTATGTGGGATGCGGCCTCAGCATGGCCAGAGAAGCGGTGCGTTGGTGCGCACCCGGGATCCGAGCCGGGGCCGCCAGTAGCGGAGTGCGTGCACTTAACCGCTAAGCTACGGGGCCGGCCCCCTCCCTTTCCTTCTAATATTTTATTTGGAAAGTATTTGACAATGGAGATAAAATCATTACAAGGGAGGCCAAAGTAGCCCTTACATGTAAAACTGCTAGAGAACACAGAAAAAACGTGCAGATCAATCCCTCCCAGATAGGCCTCACCTTGACCATGTGAGGTTTGACCATGGAGACAGCAGAGGTATAACGTTCCACAACAGGTGGAAAGCCAACCTCCAACTGGGCCTTCAGGTGACCTTTGCGGCTGGATACCACCAAAGACTTCTTACACCAGGGCACAAACTCACGATACTCCTGGACATTGGACACTACCTCATACATCTCCTGCATTGAGTACCTAGGGGAAGGAATCACAGAGAGAGGCCAAGGAACTGCCAGCTGGGTTGGGTTCCTCCTTGCCGTAGGTGCCCTCCCCACAATACCTTTGTCCACTAACCATGTCCTTCAGGAACTAGAGATTGCAAATAAGCCTGGATGAAGGACTTTCCAAAAGCACACATGCAAATTTCCATGATGTTATTGTTACTCTATGTTTTGCAGTTTACAGAATGCTTGTGCATTTACTGTCTATTTTGATCCTAAGAGGGACCATTTAGAGAGATTTTACTGGTGATCAGATCCCAGCTTTACAACTTTCGAACAATGTAACCCTAGGTAAATTACCTGTGCCTCCATTTTTTCCTCTAAATCAGAGGTAATAATAGTACCTGATTCATAGGTTTGCTGAAAGGATCAAATGAGAAAATCTATGTAAAATACCTAAGCAGCTTAACTGCTAACAGTAACAAGTGCTCCATAAGTGTTAGCTATTGTGCTCAGAATACATAAAAAAAGCCAGGCCAGTCCAGAAATAATACCCTGTTGTCTTATGATACTGTCCAACTCTAGTCACATTTCACTTAACACGCATGCACAGCAACCAAGAAAAATGGGGAAATTAAGGTTGGAAGGCTGGCAGGGGAGGATAAAGGATCAGTAAGATAGGGAGAGGGATGGCCAGGGATGAATCTTGCCCACTATCGCTACCCTTACATTCTAGTCTGGACATGGTTATTTCTTTGGAGGGGAAGGGAATGTAGAGGAATGCTGGACAGGGGATGATGCTCACCCCATGATCCTACGCTCGGAGTAAGCCTTTCGCTTGTTGGTGAAGGGGGCAGCAAAGCCCATGAAGGAACGTTTGGGAGGTAAGCCAGCCTCAGTCGCCAAGACCTGTGCAGCCCGGGGCAAGAGGAGGCTGCAGGACATCAGAGATCTAAGGCCAAAAGAAAAGGAGAGACAACGTCACGATTCTGTCTTTGTGTTCCTCAACCATTCCCAGGTGAAGGGGAAGAGCGGCGCATCCCAGAGGAAGGTCGTCCTTACAAGCTTTGCCCCAGCACCTGCTGTGGCCCGCCAGGCTCCCCGGCCAGGCAGTCACGAGTGCGAAAGGTCGAGGGCGGGTGAGGACAGTGCCAGGGGAGGAGATGGGAAAAAGCGGAGTGAGTGCGAAGAACGCTAGGACTCCGGAAGCATCACAGTCCCCCGGGCCCGCGAGGGGCAAGAAGAGGTTGGGCACCCACCCCGGGGACCTGTCCTCGATAATAACATGCAAAAGCATTCCCCAAAGCTCTACATTACACCCCATGGTACGGCCGCTGCCGCCCCCAGCCGCGCCTGCATCCCAGGGTTGCAACCCTCCACCCCGGAACTTCGGGGTCCTGGGCGACCCCCTTTCCTCCGGCGCGGTCACCCGCGCCTTCCTCTCACCTCATTGGTCGCGGCGGTCGCGGAGGGCGGAGCGGGAGGCCGCAGCAGCGCTGGGCCGCCGCGCGCGTCCCGGCCGGGAGCCGCCGCGCGCCCGCCGAGGCCATGCGCGCGACCCTGCCTGGCCCTCTCGGCTCTGACGCCCGGTGCGCCCTCCTCACCGCAGAGGAAGAGCGGCAGGAAGCGGCAGCCGGGCGGGTTCAGGGCCCCCGAGCGCAGCGGCGGCGCGGAGCTGCGGCTCCTCTCGCCCTGCTCCCGCCCGGCGGCCGGGTAGGCTAGACTGAAGCCGCGACCGCTGCTCCTGGAGCTCCAAGTACCCGCACGTCACGCCGTTGCCATGGCTCGGGACGGGGAGAGGGAGAAGGAAGGGGACCACGCGGCCTGTCGGGAGATGTAGTTTCACACCTCTAGCGAGAAAGGGCGCTAGAGTGTGTCTCAGAAGCTGCAGAGATGGCCCGGTGGAGCGAGGTCGCCAGGCAAACTACTGTACTTGGCGAGTCTGTGGTCACGGACCTGATGCATAAGCACAGAGGCGACTTCGCGGGCATGTCAACAGCAGATATCTGATCTAAGTTTTCCATGAGTTTTTATTCAAAATCACAACCTCCCCCCCCCTTTTTTTTTTGCTGAGGAAGATTCTCCCTGAACTACCATCTGCTGCCAATTTTCCTCTTTTTGTGTGTGAGCCGCCACCACAGCATGGCCACTGACAGACGGGTGGTGTAGGTTCCCGCCCGGAAACCGGGCCCAGGCGCCAAAGCAGAGCACACAGAAGTTAACCACCAGGCTTCCAGGGCTGGCCCCTCTGCTGATCTCCTGAACGTCTCTCTCACAGCCTTTATTATATTGTCCCTTGTTTATAGCAGTTAGAAGTTCTATTCATCTTTGTAGCCTCCATAGTGCCTACTGCTGTGCTTTATTTACATCTTTGCAAAAGGAAATTAACTTTCCAAGTTCTGGACTAAGACTTCGCACAATTTTCTCTTTTAATATTTGTAGAAAGAAGTCGGGGTGGGAAGAACCAGACTTACTTTTAGGGGAGAACCATCTTTGTCTGGAATAGTGTGGACTTGATGAAGATTGAGACCTCAAGGGCAGGAACCGGGGCAACGAAATGTCAATATAGGGCCGGCCCTGTGGCTTAGCGGTTAAGTGTGCACGCTCCGCTGTTGGCGGCCTGGGCCCGGATCCCGGGCGCGCACCAACGCACCGCTTCTCCCGCCATGCTGAGGCCGCGTCCCACATACAGCAACTAGAAGGATGTGTAGCTATGACATACAACTATCTACTGGGGCTTTGGGGGAAAAATAAATAAATAAAATTATAAAAAAAAAAAAGAAATGTTGATATACTGCTTTGCATCATGATAAAAGGAGAAAAAAATCGCTCCTGATAAAAGCAGAGAGAACAAAAGAAAAAAAGAGAGGAGAGAGAAATCAGCAATTAGAGAGAGACTGGATCTAGGTGGGTACAAGAGCCATTGAAATTCTCCGACGGTGGAGTAGAGGAAGGACATTTGAAGAATGGTGGTGCCTGCTGTTGCATTTAAAGTTGTTTATGCTATTGCAGTGCAAGCCCCTCCTCTACTTTCTTTCTAAGTCTTTAGTTAAGCTCTCCACATGCAGGAAAGCTTTGTCTGTGTAGTGTTGTGTGGGTGACTGGTGGGTGGGATAAAATAATTAAAGACTGTGTTGCCTTTTAATAGGTGTGGAAGAGAGACATCTTGCCCAGAAACAGGGGCCTGGAAACAGATATAAATCCTTTAACTCCCATTGCTCCTTAAGATTGCCATTAATTTTGAGACTTCCACTGGATATGGATTGATTTAAAGTTCGAGCCCATTTTATCTGGATTTCAAGGAGCGGGAGCCTTCCCTTGAACTCTGGTTTACATTTAACATTTTGTAAGGAAGGCATTTTTTTTTTTTTAAAGATTTTATTTATTTTATTTTTTCCCCCCAAAGCCCCAGCGGATAGTTGTGTGTCGCAGCTGCACATCCTTCCAGTTGCTGCACGTGGGACTCGGCCTCAGGATGAACGGAGAAGTGGTGCCTCGATGCGCACCCGGGACCCGAACCCGGGCCGCCAGCATCACAGCGCGCGCACTTAACCACCAAGCCACAGGGCCGGCCCTAAGGAAGGCATTTTTATCGTTATTTATTTTTTGGTGAGGAAGATTCGCCCTGTGCTACCATCTGTGCCCATCTTCCTCTATTTTATATGTGGGACGCCACCACAGCATGGCTTGATGAGCGGTGCATAGGTCTGCACCCTTGGATCCGAACCCATGAACCCCGAGCTGCCGAAGCAGAGCATGCGAACTTAACCACTGTGCCACTGGGCCAGCCCTATCCTTATTTATATTCATAATGTATATACAAGAAGCCCCAAATTGGGGAATGATCTCACTTCTTTTTTTCTCCTAACATTTCTTTTTCCCTCAGCACCCTCACCCCCACCCCCAGGATACAGTATCTCCTTCCAGTTCAAAGATGATAATCTGGAGCCACTCTCAGATGGGCATGTGACCTTGAGGGACAGATTCACTCTTCCCAGCCCTACTCTCCTGTCCGGCCCCACTCTCTCTGACTAAGGGCTCACACATGGGAGACAGCCATTTAGAGTGAGGAGTAAGGATCTTGCTGGATAAAAGACAGAAATTAACTGGGATGCATGACTGTACCGTGACCTCATTAACACTATTCCTTAACCGAGTTAACTGCTGCAGAATCCCCAAGGTACAATAGGCCTGCCAAGCCAATTTGCTTGTTGTCCCCCTACTAATTAGATTAGCTAATTACTGCCATTTAAACTTTTCCTAGTTCATTCCCTGTACTTGAAACAACCAATTTCCTGCCATTTCCCTGTCATTCTACATCAATAACTTCCTTTAAGTAGTGACTCAAAACGCACCTCCTCCAGGAAGACCCTCTTGACTGAACCCATCCCTCAACATTACTCTGAACACATAATGCCATGTAAAGTAGCATGTATCCTATATTCTCTAGTTGTTTCATAAGTATACATATGTTCTTCTATTAAGTTATAAGCGCCACAAAAATAGACACCATTACTCCTAAGTTTCTACCTCCAAACAAGTTAGTATATGGCTGTACACAATGGTGAGTCTTCAATCAACATTTCTTAGAAGAATGAAAACTGAGGCTTAAAGACAGGCAGGCATCTGCCTAGAGTTACCCAGATATGAAGTCAGTAGTCAAATCCAGAAGGACTGTCTGCATAAGAGGGCTTTGCCACCACTTCAGGCCTCCTCCTCCCCCACCCTGTGCATCTCCCTGAGCCCTGGAAGTATCTGTGTTATGTATATCATATCCCTTTTTTCCCAACGGGGAAATCCTCTTTCTGTGCTCTGAGTAATATTAAAAATAACTCTTCTAGCCCTTCCTCCTTCGTCCAGCTGTCCAGAGAACCCAGCTGGCAACCTCCCTTGTTCACCTCCACTCCCACACCAGAACCAGGCATGTGACCCCAGCTCAACCTCTGACTCCAATTCCTCAGGTTACCAAGAGCTATTTCAGGCAATGGAAGCCACGTAGTCCCCTCCTCCCCATCCTCTGGGTCATATCCTAGCTTAGCCCTTCCTGAAAGATCCATCATATCCAATAGCCAAATCAACATGTCCCAACACCCATAGCCATCTGATCCCCAGCTACCTTTAGTTTCTACTTCTTCAACCTCATCTTCGTCATCATCATCAAATATTAAGTTCCTGTTCTTAGAGCTACAAAGAATAATTTAATATATACTCTTGCTGTCAGAGAGCTCAAAATCATTTTTACATAGAAAAGAACCCCAAAACAACGTACAATCCTGTGCTGGAAGACTCTGGCTAACAAGGAGTTTAAAATCCATTCTGAGGGCTGGCCTGGTGGTGAAGCGGTTAAGTGCACGCCCTCCACTTCGGAGGCCCGGGGTTTGCAGGTTCAGATCCCAGGCGCGGACCGGATGCACCGCATATCAAGCCATGCTGTGGCAGCATCCCATATAAAGTAGAGGAAGATGGGCACGGATGTTAGCTCAGGGCCAATCTTCCTCAGCAAAAAGGGGAGGATTGGCAACAGATGTCAGCTCAGGGCTAATCTTCCTTACACACACACACACACAAATCCATTCTGAAATGTTGGACAAGGGAATGTCAAAGATGTAAGGTGGAATGAGCAACAAAGGTGTGCAATTTAAACCTGACTGTGTCTGACAGTGTAAACTGAGTATTACATACACTAAGTATTACATTAACACTTACAGTGTTAAGGAGACCTAACAAAAGGGAAAGAACCTGTTAACCAGGGAAAACTTCCTAGAAGAGGTAAGTTTTTAGTAATATTGTAAATTTTATTTTCAATGTGATAAAAATTCAAAAAGTTATTAAAGGTATATAGTGACAGGTAAATTTCCCTCTCACTCCTCATTCCCTGTCCCCTAGTTTCTCTCTCCAGGAAAAAGCACTGGTACCAGTGCCTTGTGTATCTTTCCAATGGGAATAAAGATATTGAAGGCAATGAGAGGCATAGATTGTTGGAGAACAAGGAAGGGCTTTTATACCTATGCCTTGACAGGGGGCCGACATGCTACACTTCTTCCTAAATGTGTTCCTTTCTTAGAACACATATATTGAGTTACTGAGCTCTGAACAGGACCCTGAATCACCTTCTATAAATTGTACCAATTTGTCAATATCCTCTTTTCTTCCTCCTTCTTTTTGCCTTTCTGGCCTGGGATGGCCTCCATCCGGATCTTGCCTGATTGGCTGCTCTCTGGCCTCCTCAATGGAGGAGGGGAAGCACCCTCACCCTTTTCTGAGACGAAGGCATTGAGCCTTTTAAAATGTAGCCACCTTACCACCTTAACCTGGCAATGGAGTAGAGAGTCGAAAAGCGCCTCTTCTGTTGACCTTGGAGAACTTCTCCAAGCTGCCAGCTGTCCTAGCCTCTTTGTGGGGGTTTTCTGCTGCTGGAGATTCTTTCTTGGGATTTCTCTCTGCAGTTTGAGCACTTTTGCTATTTCCTTTTTACCCAACTCATGTCACCGCCAGTAGAGATACGCGCCTTCCCTCCCTCTGGGGCTTTGCCATATATACTCCGCGGATCTCCACGCCCCTGCTTCCCCCGGTCTGGGAGGGATTTGGGGTGTGTAATCGCTGACGGGAGGAGTCAGCTCCGGCCGAGGCACTGTGGGCTGGGTGCCATCTGGCCAGACGTTTGGTCCGCAGGTTGGGAGGCACCGTAGGGTCAAGGCCCGAGTTGCCGCTA